TAGTCGGACTCTTCGAACTGGATAGTGACACATTTCACAAGCCTAGTGTAAATAGACATTTTACATACAGAAGAATGACGAGCAATATATTATCTGAATGTAAATAGATTTCAATGTATCCTGATGATTCTAGTCATTGAAGAAGTATCTTTGGTAATATTTCAATCTCACTTATAAATGTATTTAGCGATGTACGAGCCTATGTCGCATGATATGCTTTCGTGCTTTCAGAATTGAGCTAAGCGAGGCTTATGAAGCCGACGCGTTACTTGTTTTTACAGGCAAATCTAAATTTTTTTCGATTTAAAACCCTTGTAAAAAAGTTTTAGCCAAGACAGCGTTTTTGCACCCCTCCGGTCCTTATGTCCTTTTTACCTAAATTTGACTGTCGTTCGTATTTTGACATTTTCTCGAAAACAGTTAAAGCGATCGAGTCTATTCAAGTTTCATTTGATAGCCACTCAGATTCTCTATAAAAAACTACAAATTATGAAATATATTTGTTGTTGAGATTTGAAGCTATATTGTCCTGAAGGTCAAAATCCATGAAAAACATAGGAGTAAAATGAGCGTATTTTTTCTGATTGTAACCCTCTTCTACTTTCAGTGGTCAAACCTCCAAAAATTTTTTTATCTGATTTTGTAGAGCTTTCCAAGCTGCATCTAATCATATAAAATTCAAAGTCTAAAAAAACTACCAACTCCCTGAAAAATGACCTACACAAGGGTGAAGCTTATAAGAGTCCTAATATAAGGACATGAGCAATGATTACAGTCAGTGCTTATCAAATCTTCGTAGAACTAATAAATTGCTTATCTAATAATAATGAAACTCTGACGAATGAAAAATTATTAGGTTATTGTCATGAATTTAAGCTCGATAATTCTGATCTATAAGTGGCCTAATCATATGTATGATATATAACTGATTGATCAAGATTCAATGCTTCTTACTATACAAAAATGATGTTTTTCATAAGCATGAAAGACTGGTTAAAATTGTAAAATTCATCAAATTCTATAGAAAATACTTACAAATGTTGCAGTTTTATTCAAATCCGAATATATAAGAAACTTATCTTATGAAGACCAAATATACCGGTGGACAAAAGTCTACCATCTCTTCTTTTCTGTGCCGTCATACTTCAAATTTATCGCCAAGTAGAGAAACGACTCGAGAGTTTTATTGCATTGGGATCTGTGCACCATACTGAAATAAAACTATCATGCCATATTTCAACTCGACAATAAACTTGATAAAAAGTATGGTAGCACAGAAACAAAGGAGAGAAGACTTTTGTCGGGGAGTGTGTATAAGGGGCTTATCATATGCAAACCAAATTCAAAAGGGTCTTTTTTTAGTTTTTTGAGAAATATCACATATACAATAACTTTTGTTTTATGATTAGATATCCATTAAACTAGCATTACTTCATTGTCAAAGAAAAGACGTAGCTAATGTTCACAGTATTTGCTCTTTTCTTTAACAATGAAGTAAGGCATAGTTTAATGGATACCTGATCATAAAACAAAACTTATTGTAGCTGTGATATTTATCAAAAATAAAAAGACCCTTTTGAGTTTGGTTTGTATAAGATCAGTTTCTTATAGATTTGGTCTGCATAAGATAAGCTTCTTATATGTTTGATTTGCATAAGATGAGTTCTTTATATATTTGGATTTGAATAAAACTCCAACATTTGTAAGTATTTTCTGTAGAATTCGATGAATTCTACAGTTTTAACTGAGTTCCACGTCTATGAAAAGCATAATTTTTGTATAGTAAGAAGCATTGAATCTTGATCAATCACTTATATATTATACATATGATTCGGCCACTTATAGATCAGAATTATTGAGCTTAAATGTATGATAAAAACCTAATAATTGTCATTCGTCAGAGTTTCATAGTTAGATAAAAAATTGATTAGTTTTATGAAGATTTGATAAGCACTTGCTGGGTGTGGGGTGTGGGTGTGAGCAAGGGGGAAACAGCGGACTTCAAGACTTCAAAAGACTTCAAGGGGGGACTTCAAAAGACTTCATGGGACTTCACGAGACTTCACAGACTTCATGAGACTTCATGAGACTGCATGGGACTTCACGAGACTTCAAGAGACTTCATGGGACTTCAAGAGACTTCATGGACTTCATAGGACTTCACGAGACTTCATAAAAGAAAAAAATAGAGGACTTCAAGACTTCAAAAGACTTCACGGGACTTCACGAGACTTCAAAGACTTCATGAGACTCCATGGGACTTCACGGCTGAAGTCTCCGCTGTTTCCCCCTTGGGTGTGGGTGTGGGTGT